AGGACTTGTTATTGCCTAATTTAAACTTTGCGTAATGTGGGGTTTTGTTAGTAATGATAGGTTTTAATGTAGGCGTAGTATTTTACCCTTCAGAACCTTCGTTTGTAAAATACCGGTCTGTTCCAAATCACGTGTGAAGAAAAATTAGACACTTACCAAAATCAGGAAAATTTTCATTTTATCACGAATTTTGTCAATAGAATGCAGAAAAAAACTCTCGAAATCTCAAAATGAGAATGTAAATTATATTTATTAATCAAAAGCCAATATGAGACCATTTAAAATAAAGGTCTATTATTTGGTCGTAGTAAAACGGTCGAGTAAATTCCATTATCATTCTATATAATTCACGTAATTTTTTTGGATACACATAACAAAACAGAACAGCTCTTTTATTATTTAATTAAAAGAGCTTGACCGGACAGTGTAAGTGTAATTGTTTTTATTCGTTATATATAAATAGATAATATATCGCTTTTTTGTCTACATAAATTTACTTTAATCAAATTGTTTGATTTCTTCATTTTATCAAGTATCTCTTTTTTTTCATTTTTCATTTTTTTTTTTTTTTTATATTTATATATTTAACTTAGAGAATCAATTAACGGAATTAGTTTTTTTTTTATTGCTCAATTTCATATGAATATGAAATTGGACACTAATCATTAAACAAAATTCAAAATTTGAAGCGACGAAGCATAAATCGCATATGGTTTTAATAACTATCCGAATGTATGTATTAACGTTAAATTAATTTTTTGGCTTACAATAAATTTTAAATTTTGTTATCCAGCTTTCAAGAATAAGTTTGATAAATTCTAAAGTATTTGGGGAACAGTATCTTCAGAAGCTGGGATGAGATATAGTTCAAGTATACTCCGACAATGATATTTTGTAAATATCGCTAACCATGAACGGATTTCTGATTTATTACAAGAAACATAAATGAGTGTGATATTTTCTCAAAACCATTTTTACCAGTAAATCAAATTCTTATTATATTATTTCATTTAACTTGCTATTAAATTTTTTAAATAATTAAATAAAAATGTGTCAATATTTATTATTGGATAATCCTTATAATATCATACATAAAGAAATAATTAATTCGTCTTAAATGCTTTGAAAATTGTGTAGTTGAATTTATAATAAAAATTTAATTTATTAATGATTAAATATATTAAATTATCTAATAATCTTATGTTCTGTAATTGTCCTTTCCAAACGATGTAAAATTACTCTCCATTTTGAATTTTTTTAATACATCTTCTGACAATCCAGAACTCATCTTTCGTTTCTTATGACAAGGTATTTCGTTAGAAACTTTTGGAGCTAACTTTGGCCTATCTTTACTAAGAATTTCTTCAACTTCTGACTTATATCGAAATTTTGAATCATTCTAAAATTAAAAAAAAAATTTCAATTTATTAAAATGTGAATATAAATTTGACCAAATTTATCAAAATATAAGAGAACAAATATTTACATTGTAGTTCTGTTTAATATTTTTCCATTTAACCGCACATTGATCAGCAGCATAAGTAAATTTATTTTCGCGTAGTATAGCAGAAGCACCGTTCCATAGATCCAATCTAACTTCACCAGCTATAGAACCACGACTTTCCAGCCGTAGAACCTTTTCTTTATTTGCTTTCAAGTAGGCTAGTAAATATTTTATGGCTTCTTCCTTCCATTTACATGGTGGTGCTTTATTTTTTCTTGTTATTTTAGCTTCTTTACAACTTTGGTCAAATTGGGATCTACTTTCACTAGGATTAGCGTTAAATTCTACTATAATTTAATAACAAAAAGATTAGTCAGCGATACAAGTCGGATTCACATAAAGTGGTTGAGTTTCCATATAATTTACCTTGATTAGGCACTTCTATTATTTGACAATTATTGTCTTGTTTATCACTATGAGCGTATATATCTTTATGATTGTAATTAAATGTAGATTGCTTGTAGACTTCATAGTTTTCAGCATGTTTTGCTTCACAAGACATATAAATGTTTTGAACATTAACAGAAATATAAATGTGTTGTTGGTGTTGAGTTGAAACCATTTTGATGATTTTGCTTTCTTAATTTTGACATTTTAGTTTTTTTTTACGGCTTATTTATAATTATCCTTTTATTTTTTTTCTAAGATATATCATCTTCCAAAAAGAAGATTTTCTTCTCTAGAACATTCCATGTGAAACAGTGACTTTCATTAATGGTTTGTGTTACCCGAATCCAAAGTTACTTTTTAAACAATTAAAATAATATTATTATAAAACGATCAAAACTGATGATAATGACTTTCAACATTGGAATTCGATTAATCTTTAGGTAAGGAACAGATAGGAATATATTTTCCGTTAAGAATATTTAAAAATTATTCTGAAATGACGACGTTGCATGGTAAATGATAGACCATTTTAAGTAAACATTTGATCGCACATGGGTGTTACATGAAATACGAATCATCCTCTTTTTTCTTTTTTAAAAAAAAAAGAAAGAAAATATTAATTAACTTTTGGATTATGATTAATCTGAATCGGACACTTGATAAATTTACTCCTAAATAAAATTGCAAGCGTAAAGGTAATTCTTAATGTCAAAATGATACAATTGTCATATTTATTATTATGATACAAATAAATCTAAAACATAAAAAATAAAATGAAATTTGTAAAATTAACAAACTTTTAATGCTATAAATTATGTTGCAAGTTTATATAATAAATAAAACGTCCGACCATTTGTTCATTTAACTTATTTGCAATTTTATTGGTTGAATTTTGTGAAGATCAATTTTGAAATATCACATTTTTTATTGGTATTTACCAAAATAGAAAGGTCGGTTTTTTTTGGCATTTTTGATTTAAAAATACTAATTTTCGGCTTTTTTTTTATTAAAAATTTCTTTGAATTAAAATCAAAATAATTATAAAATGAATATAAATAGTTTATATAAAATTTAAGATTATAATAAAAATGATTCAAATATATAAATTAAAAATTTACTCAAATAAAAAAAAAAAAACTATAAAAATTCAAATCTTAAAAAATTTAGAAAAAGAATCATACTTATAAATCACCTAATAATATTTGTGATTATTATCTTATTAGTGGGCAATGACATTTATACAGATAATCAAAAAATTTAAAATATTATAAAAATAAAAATTTATAATATTAATATATTATTTAATACTTTTCATTTTAATATTTTGTAGAATAAAATAATAAATGTAATTATTATTAGAATTCTATAAAAATTATTATATTTAATGTAAAATCCTATAAAAAGAGATTAGAACAAGATAATAATAGTTTATTAAATGAAGAAATATTAGATAATGAAAATTAAGAAGAGAAAAAATATAAAAAATATAAAATTACACTATGTATTAATAAATTAGTTGAATTATTATCACATTTCTTTATTACTTTTAAATTATCATTATATTTAATTTTATTACACAAATGTTTATTATGTTAATTAAATTAAATAATAACTAAAATATATTTTTATAATAATTAAAATTTTATAATACTATTGATTTTATTGTTAAAGTATAAAATCAAGTTAAATCTGCTACTATTGAAATTACTAATTAAAAACTATTATCAGATTCTAATAATAAATATGATAATTATGATACAGATACATAACATAATTTTAATAATAAAATGCTTTAAATAATATTATATAAATACTATCATATAATAATACTTTATTTGCATTAAATATATTAAATATATTAAAGATGTTTAATTAAAATGTAATAGAAAATAATATAGATAAATTAATATTTAATATTTCTTTAAAAGATATATTAAATAATACTAAAAAGTAAATTTAATTAATTTTTATTATTTTTTACTAGAAAAATTATAAATTAATAATGAATTAAAGATTTAAAAAGAATATTACATAGTTATAAATATTCAATTAAAACTATTAATAAGCAAATTTAAATTTTTCTATTTATATATATGTCTAATTAATTAACTAATAATTACTATTTTACTAATATTAACTATAATATTTATTGTATTATTAAAAGTATAAATTTAATGATTTTGCATATATTCTTGAAGTATTCTATTAATTATATAAATCAAAATATTGTTAAGTATCATATAAAATTTACTATTAGAGATTTTTTTAACAATCATTTAATTTCTATTAATTATACCAGTTAAATAGATTAATTAATTAGATTTATTTTATTAGATATTTTAAAAATTGTAATATAAATTTGAAGTTTTTTAACTTTTAATTTTTTAATATTAATTATAAAGTTTATATAATATTAAAAATAATTATATTATTTTTTTTTAGAAAAAATTTTTCAAATAATTATCTGCTTTTCTAACTTTTTTTACATCATCCAAAATTATATAATTCTTCAAATTTAAATTAAATAATAATTGATTTTTTTTTTACTTTTAGACTTTTTTAATATTAGATTTATTAATATTTTCTAAGGTTACTTATTTAAACTCATTTTAAATTTGACAAAAATGTCTAAACTATAGTTTTGCTAAATTTTTACTAAAGTTTTGATATAGTTTTGCATTTTTATAAGCTTTAATATAGTTTTATCTTTTCTAGAATTTCGCAGATTTTTTAATAAGATTTTAATATAATTTCACTAAATTTTACCTTTTTCCATTTAAACAATTTACAAATCTCTAAGTTTCTTCTAGCAACCTTAATATTTTTTAAATAAATTAGAGCTAATAAAAAGCTAAAGTTTTAATTGCTATAATTTTTGATTTATATTCTGATGAGTTTTAAATTATATTTGTTGAATAGTTCTTTAATCTATTAATAGTAAATTATTATATCAAATTTAATTTTTTATAAAATTATATAAATAAGGATATTTGCAAAAAATTAGATTCTGATTTTGAATATAATGAATAAATTTATTTTTAAATATTATATTTATTAAAGTATTAAATAGACTAAAATCATTTATTATACCCTTTTTAATATTATTTTCTAAGAATTTTATATATGTTAAATATTGTAATATTAGAATATTAGACTAATGTAAATTAAGAATAATATTTATATATATTTTAGCAAATTTATGACTATAGAATCTACCAAGATAGCAAATACTTAAAAAAGATAAAGCTAACAGTTTATTTATTTTTGAAAGACTTCTAGTAATTTTATTATTGCAAGCTCTAAACTCTTAATTAATTTTAATTTATTATTCTTTAATATTTCTATTGCTTTTAATAACTCTTTATCAAAGAAATTATATATATTTTTAGCAATAAATCAGATATCTTTAATCTAAGAATTGTTTCAAATATTTAATGAGTTTTATGACCTAAAAATATTTGGTCAAATTTATTATATTTGATAAAATTTTAGGTTAAGAATAAAAATTATTTAGAAAAGTTATCATTTAGCTCATAAAACTTTTTTTTAAACTTTATAAAACATTTGATTTAAATATTTAATTGTGAATTATTTAACTATATTTTAAATAATTTTTATTTATTTAGATAAGATTTAGATATATTTATCAATATAAATAATTTTGAAATAAACTATTTAACAAATTTTTCTTATATTTAAAATATTATTTAGCTATCTTTAATTCATATAATAAATATGATCACATTAGTTTTTAATATTGATTTATATTAAAGTTAAAACATATTTATAAAGATTATAGATTATATTAATCTTCATTTCTAATGGTTTATCTTTATTAGTCTTATAATACCTATTATAAAGTTCTCATATTAAATAAAATAAGTTAAATAAATAAGTTTGTTTATTAAATTCTATAGTAAAAGTTAATTTTTCAAATGCAATATCTTTAAAAGTAATAAGAATAATATAAATAACATAAAGATTACATATAATTTGTATTATTTAAAAAAATGTTTGATATAATCTTATATTAATTAAGTATTTCTTGTAAGTATTTATAATTGTTTAAATAACTATTTTTATATCACAGATAATTAAATCCTTTATTCTAACTAATAACATATCTGAAAAATTCTTTTTTTATTTTAATAACTAAATTAAATTACAAAATCTTTTGTAGATTCTCTTATTGACTCATATTTAAAATACTAAAAATATAGAATTCTAAATCTTTATAATGTAAAAATTCATCTTTAATTCTAAAATTTCTTTATTATAATGTATAACTAATTGAAATGAAAATGTTAAAGAAGCTAATTTATTAGTTAAAATATAAAAATTTATGTATATTATACAGTATCATGAAAAGATATTTTTTTAATCTAAGGTAAGCTTGTAATTAATATCATTACTTTATTACTATAATATCTTGCATTATTTAACAAAAATGAATTAAGATATAATTTAATTAAACTATACTTTTTCTTCTTATATTAATATAGATTTTTACTATTTATTTAGTTTATCTTTTCTTATACATTTAAGTTTATTATTAAGTAATCACATTTTATAAAATACATTAGAGTTTTTTTCTAATTACTTGACTTACTTTTTAATAATTAATTTTTTTTTAGCTAATGATGTAGCAAAGAAGTCTGACTATACATGAAGTTAAAATTAAATCTAAAAGTCAAAATATTTCAGCTTATAGATTATAATTAAAATTAAAGTCAAAATCAATTGCGATAATTAAAATTAATTATAATAATTAAAATATATTATAATAGTTGAAAATTAAAAATACTTTTAAAATATTAATAAAATAATTATAATATTATATTTAATTAAAAAAAATATTCTTATTATTACTATTATTACTATTATTATTACTATAATTATTATTACTACTATAATTATTATTACTATTATTATTATTATTACTATTAATTATTATTAATATTATTAAAATTTGCATTTATTAGGAAACTGGTAGTCCTGGCTTAATTCATAAGAATTGAGTCTCTTTTGTAGGTTACATGTTAAAACTATAAGTTCAAGTCTTACCTGAGACATAAAACTAGATAATTTTCATAAGAATTTCATATATAACTGAATATATGGTGTATATATTAATATATGTTAAAAATTGATCAATTAATCTATTGATCAACT